CGATTCACATTTTTGGACATTGGCTTCAATCTCCGACCGACCGAAATCCAAGGCGCTTTCGGCTTGGAACAGCTGAAACGTCAACCAACGTTCAAGCTGTCACGACAGCTCAAATATGCTGTCTTCGAAAAGTTTGTGGCCTCGGTACCAGACCTTGAAATGCCGCGCTGTCCGCCACGAGCCTTCGCCAACTGGATGTTACTGGCAATAGTAGTGAAGCAGAACGACAAATTTACGAAGCACCAGTTGGTAGAATTCCTTGAAAGGAATGGAATCGAAACGAGACCCATTTCAGGGGGCAACGTGACCAAGCAACCGTTCGCCAAGTATTACCCGTTTTTGAGAGGCGAAAAGTACAGTGGCGTAGAACAAGTCGATCTAAACGCTTTCACAGTTGGACTCTACCCGAATTCTCCGTTTGCTGACCCACGCAGCTGTGCGGATGTAGAACGAGTGATCGAGTGTATGACAAGATTCCTGAAAAGGAAGAAGGTCACTTTCTTCACAAATTAATCAGCATTATGGTTTAGGATTAGATTCAGTTTTGTTTTATGGATGTTTCTGGAGTGCAACAATGCATTTCGTGAGTAAAAGTTAATTTATGACAACAGCTTGAGAATGTGTGGATTAGTATGAATTTAAAGGGATCTTAGCGATTGTGAGTGACAGGACTCCTCATGCCAATGGGCAATTAAAGAAGTTCCGTCTAACTCCCTCAATGCCGCTCCCAATCCCAGACGAGAAAAGTGGAGAAGGATTAAGAACGGTGGCGAGGTCTCCCGCAAAACTCAGTCACTTGCTTCTTATGATATTGGCGTCATCGAAATCAAAACTGGCTCGATCACTGACCGGGTTACCAAGAGTCACACAGGCTGTTGGCGAGCTGAGGCAGGCTGCACTAAGTTAACGAGACGTTCCAGCTCTTGACCCTCTGGCACCAGGTGGCGTTGCACCATGATGACACTTGACGAAGATCGACAAGAAGACGACGAAGGTACGAATCAGCCAACGGAGTCGCCACGGTTTCTGGCCGGGCGAGCAGACAGCGCAATGCTCTTATAGCACGTCAAACAAGACTCCATTGAAAGAGTACCGCCAGTGTTAACTTACTGTCGGAAATTGAAGCATCTCCTCACTCAGCGAGAAGAGCAGCAGCTAACTGATGAGGCCCTCAACATATCAAACTGAATATAGCTGAACTCTCGTCAACAAACCGCCAGGCCTCTAGAATTAAGGACACCTGTAAATGCAAGATATTTTACTCAACCATCCATGCTCAGGCTGATATTAATGTTCTGGTAGAACCCATCCTTGCTTACAGAATCGTTAAATGTACGCCTGTCTGCGAGAGAGAGAGAGAGAGAGAGAGAGTAACAGTAATGAGAATGAAGCTACAACAGGTCAAGGCGTTCACCTTCCGACAGATCTGAGCACCCAATTCGAAGGGAGCCACAACTCCGTTCTTGGGAACTACAAGGTGCTCTGTACGAAGAGATATCTACGGAATTCATCATTTTAACGGGAGATTTCAGTGTCATATCGAAACAGACAGTGAAAAGTGAAAAGGCGTGATTCGAAACAACTGCCATAACGAGCTCAACAGCAACGGGATCAAACTGTTGCAATTTTTGCAGTCAAACAACTGCCTGCTATTAACATCTCGTCGAGCATCGAAACATACATCAGTATGCCTGAGATAGGGTAGTTTGTGCATAGAAGTCGACGTGCATCTGATAATCGATCAGCTTGACTAGCAGTACTGTAATGGATGTTCGCGTTAAGAGAAGTGCAGAGCTGTCAACCAATCATCACCTTATTAATGGCACCCTCTGCTGCAAAAACGGGAAACACGTGGCGGCAGAAACAGCCAGAAAATCACAATAAAAATATTATCTTCTGCGGATACGAGGGCGAAACTTGCAAACAACATCGAACGGCGGTTTGAATAGATGATATCTCATATGGAAGCTGAGTGAAGGCTGTCTTAGAGCGGCTTACTTGGGGCTGCCGCCAAATGCTGTGGTCTACAACTGGTTGGTTCGATAGTCTAAAGTTTAAAGGAGACACTTCTGCGAAGGGGAGAGCAGTTTGAGGAATTAATCGTGGGCCATGAGTGAAAATCTTCAATCCCGGATACAGGCGGCTTAAGTTGGCTTTCTGAGACGAATCGCTAGACTCACACTTCTCAACATAATCTGGGGTA